ACCTTGCAGCAGGCCCTGCGACATCCCCAACACCTCCCACTTCAGGAGCTGTGGCTGGTCAGCAGTTCTCAGGGTCGCAGCTGTACGTGTTTTAGGTAGCTGCAAGGGAACAAATGCAGCTGGCCCTTCCACTACACACTCCAAATCGTTAAGTACTCATGCACTGCRCCTTGTTTTCCCACCTTTTCTAAGGCTGAGCTTTAAAAGCCAGACTGCTCTGGCCACGCTGCCTGTATTCACCCATCAACACCAGCCAAACCGCTCCTGGTCCACACAGCTACATCACACACACTGTATCCAGACTTTCCCCCACACCCAAAGGAAAACAATTAGTAGTAATACCGTAAAATTGCCCTCAGCAATTACTATTTCCTTCTGCTTGCTCTGAAGTTGGGATCTTTAAATTTCAGAGTATATCCCAACAGGAAGCTCAAGAAGAGGCCACAAGGAAAACACGTACATCCCTTTGAGGCAATTAGGTGTTTTTAAGCGCAACCCAAGAACTTTCCCCAAAGAAGCCCTAATCATCTTCACCCCGACAGCGCTTTTCAGAGCACACTGCTATCAGTGTGCCCCACGCCACCTCTAATAACTCTGGAGGCAGAGGAATTACTGTAGCCGCCGAAGAAATGCAGCCACCTCTGGGCTGGGGCACAGTGGTGCACAGCAGCAATCCCCACTCTGTGGCAGAATTACATGATTTGGAAATAATGCGCTCAGGCAAAATTTCCAGAATTGGGCTACTGCTGTTAGAACAGGATCAGAAAAATGAGGTGTTACTCCTGCTATCCCACCACCCACACTGTTGATGCTGTGTGTTGTTCGCTCGGTGATGCCGCCCCATCCAGAAAGGGGGATCCCATCCCGCTTGGCACCCTATGGATAGGGCTGAAACAACAGTCCCATGTCCACATGACAACCCTGGAGCCCTGGGACTGATCTGAAGGAAATTGCGCCCTCCCTGCCTCATTCAATCCATCTGGTTCGGTTGGGAGCATCCTCCTCACAAGCGGCCACTGACCCCGGCTAACCCAGCCGGGCTGGCGGCAGCAGAGAGGATGGCCACAGCCGGTGACACAGATGAAGCAGCCTCGTGGTTTTGAGCTCGCTGTACATAAATGCCTTGCACTCAGCGGGCCATCTCTTCAGGACAGCTGGTGGTTCGCGCTACCTAGAGAAAAAGGCTGCTGGAGGGCTGGCCGCTGAACCTGAAATCTAGGACACCACGCTAGGAGGCCAGGGCAGAGGCAAGCGTGACGCGTTTATAAATTATACATCACGGAGGTTTGGGAKTTAAGAATTGGTAGGCAGGAATTCTACAGCAGTTTTCTTTCTTTCCTTCCTTAATTCATGGGATTGCTACTCTTCGCTGGGGCAAAACAAGCCCTCAAAAGACTCAAATGGTTCTCTGGAATAAGGAGTCCTTTTCTTCACAACCTCAGAAATAGCTGTTGAAAAGATACATCCTCCTGCTCCTAAAAAACAAAATACCCTGAGGATGAAGGCCACCATGAGACCCACCACAACCTGGACTCCATTTCCACAACCTTGCAAACTCTTCTAAATTCCCAGTCTAATAGATCAGTGGGCAACATGGCACGCAACCACTAGCAGCATGTCAGAATACAGGACTTGCTCTGCCTGGTGCGGGGCAGCTAGCAGCTGCCCGTGTCACTCCCAGCTGCAGGGCAAGACTGGGAATATTGGCCTCTACACGCAACCACCTCAATAGCGTGCCGAGTACAGCCAGGCAAACACCCGCCTTCACACTCCTACTACCCTCTTTTCATTACCCTTTAATGCTGAATTGTACAGCTTTGTGTATTTGTTACTCGGAAAATACAATATTTTGATCTCTAAGGTTTTATTGGCTTGGCTGTTATTCCACTCTTAAAACACTGGTCTGGAAAGGAGTCTTACACTCACACTGAGATACTTTTGGAAACCTATCACCTCCTCCGTCAGACATTCAAGCTCTTGTTGGTTGTGGGGGTTTGGAATAATCCCAGTGGCTTCACAGATGCAAGTGCAGGCTGACACTGATGGAAATGCAAGCAGAGGTCAGCCCGTAGCCCCCATAACACGACAATTAGTTGCTGTAGCAACATTTTTGACACCACAGTTATCACTGAATTAAAATGCAGCACAAACAGCTGGACCAAAGCTGGTCTTAAGACAATAAAAGRAGTTCTGGAGGCCTTTAGTCAGGAAAAGCTTGGGCCAGGTAAAGCCAAGAGGAACTCTGCTGAAGTTAACGGAGCGACATGGATGATGCAAACCAGGCACAACAGGGCTTCAGTCTGAGGAAGAGCGGTAGAATAAAGCCTAAAGAATTGGCAAGTCCTACAGGAAAAAAGTTAGGCTAAAATCCCCCTAAAAAGGGAGCCCTCAGCCCTATGAGCTGCTTAGAAGAATCTTTTTCCTTTTATATTTGATCTTGGCTCCACCAGCTTCTCCTTCCTAATCAGGAAGTTTAGTTCTGCCTGCACTGTGATAGTTTAGATGTTGGCTTAAGGATCACAAAATGCAGATTTTTTCTGTAGTGATTCATTTGGGATCTCTTTCACTTTACAATCAGGGAGCACTTAAATCACCTTTTCAAGCCTTACGTGGGAGCTAGGATTGCTATTAGACTATAGTGTAATCCTACGACTCCAAGAGCTTTATGAAAACCAACAGGTGCTGAGAACCATGAAAAAAAATCATAAAAGGTGGCAAATCTGAACTACACAACTATACATTTTTTTTGGACTAACTTCCAAATAGGCAGRGAATAGGCAGGGGATGATTTATGTTCTATAATAACAGTGCAAATCCCTTGCACTTGATCCTGCACCCCCGGTATAAGCCCACACAGTGCTCGCACCTCCCAGCTCCTTGGTTCGGGGGACAGTCATCCCCGTCTCACACAGAGCCCACTGCAAAGTCCAGATGATGGAAAGATTCCCCCATTTAGCAGCAGCCTTTGGGAGCAATCCAGGTGAAGAACAACACTGCAGACAGACAATTACCCCAGTTCCTTGGGGTACCTCTGTACCACCCCTGCAGGTGGGTACGAGCTTCTCTGTGCACACTGAGCCCCTGCAGCCTCTCTCTGCCCCCGTTCCAAGCCAACCCGCTGCCACACGGCCGCATGAATCCAGTGCTAAGCCTGAACTAACACTGCAGCCTCTCGGCAGGGCTTATCGGGCTGGGGTCCGTCCTGCAGGGGCTCGGCACATCCCTGGATCCCACCTTGCATCCAGCCGGCTCCGCGCTTGCATACGCTGGCAGAACGCATGGAAGCTGTAAGCAGCAAGCCACGGAACCCCTGGAAACCTGACAGCTTTGTGTGGTGTAATAATGCAATTCAAACGACTATTGGAATTGTATAAATATTTGTACAGACACTTATCACTGCAGCAGTCAAATACTAGGTCCTCCTAAATCAGCTGATCGGCTTGAAGTCCTTGCCTCAGTTTGCAAAGTCGACTAAACAAAGTCATGCAAGCCCCAATGCAGTGATCTATATAGTGTAACATAAAGCTCTGTTTATATAAATAGGCTCCATCCTCGAACACCCTTACTTTCTGGGTGGCTGTCAGCAAAACAAAATAAAAACTGGAATCAGATTTCCAGCCTACTAAAAGAACATGAGCAGGAAGCACATTTTAGCCAAGGAATTAATTAATTATTATTAACACAATGAATGCTTGCTAGGAAATGTTTGTACTTTGCAGCTGTAATTAAATATTCTCACTCATGCAGCTCTCAGCCTTCATAAATTAGTATTGCATTTTATAGTCCAGATTTTTTTTTTTTTAATAAGAAAATATATTCACATTGAGTTTTTCATTTTCTGCTGGCACAGAAAGGCGGGAGAAGGTCTCTTAATATTCATGCCCATTTTCCTTTCTAAACAATTACAAATATTTTGCTCAGTGGCACACACAGTTTTCATAAAGTACGCTGTCATCTTTGCTCTAGTGCAAGCTATATCTTGATGAATAAAWTGGGTCCTATCACCCTTCCTGGTGTGAGGAGGTGCCTCACCCTGCATTTGCACCAGAGCTATTTTCTGCTCTGCGAGCAGAACATGAGGGTCTTGATGAGACTTATGAGTAGGGACGCACAGAAGGCACCTCTCCTCTAAATCAGTGGGAAAACTCATTCAAGTGAGGGCTTGCCCACAGTGTAAGGGCTGCAATAGCTAACTCTAATGAAGGACCAGTTTCTAATCCGTCAGTCCTACATAAGGGACTCAAAAAAAGTCCCATCAACTTCACCGTTCTGCTTGCAAAAAAAATAGGACCTTCCCAGTACAAGGGTAAAAAAACCTGGCCCTAAGTCTCCATGAAACAAAAAAAAAGCGCAGGTTTAATACTAATTTGGAAAGAAAGCCCTTGAGACACCCCGTAATTCCACTGCTAGATCCTATTGCTTTTGCCCACAATGAGCAAATGCCACAAGAACCGAGGGGACTAGGCACAAAGCAAAGGTCTTCTCGACAGCTTGTAAAGAAACCAGATTCTGTTCCTAACTCAGGGATTCATTGACTGAGCAAGGATCAGAACTGGGGAGTCCCGGCTCTCCATCTGGATAATTAACCACGAGACAATGTGAACTTCACCTGCCTCACCCCTCCGGGAAAAATAAAAAGCACCGAGGCTCAGGTTCAGGGATTTGTTTTTAATCTTCTCTTTACTTCGAGATGGACACATGCAATCACTCCATTTTGTCATCACAATCCACAGCTGATTTGGCTAATATTCCATTGCAGCAGGAAACATCTTAACTCTGAAGAACTGATGATTGCCCCAGCAATCAGTTGTTCAAATAGTTGAAAATTAAGACCATTGCACACAAAGTAAATTAAGTAATTTTCTACCCTCCCAGGGTCTTCCAAGTCTATCAGATTTCCCACAACTGATATGTCACGCGGCCTCATTACTGTAAAGAAAATACAGCTCTGTGAGTCCTTTAAATGGACTTAAAGATTTGGGGGAAAAAAAAAAAAAAAAAAAAAAACCCACAGCAAAACCAGATCCCTCCTCCCCGCTGCCCCCAAGCAAAGCCAGGAGCAGAAGAGCATCCACAGAGCAGGTTTATCTGTTCCCATGCTTACGTCTCGCGCCTCAGGCGGCGCAAACCTCTGCAAATTCCAAAAAGGGTGTAAAGGCCGTTCACTATGAGGCCAATTTTGTCAGGCAGAGTCCAGATTGCAACGGTTTTGTTCACAGTGATGTCAGCGGAATCGGGCGTGAAGAAAAACGCTCTTCCCTTTAACAACACTGCAATCTGCTCCCAAAGCAGGTATCAACTCAGCATCCTTAACCCAGTAGCTCTGTATCTCTGTCTCGTTCCTAAAATAAGTAAACAAAYCAGGTTTTAGGCCACGAGTGATCATTTTAAAATAAGCATTTTGAGCTCCGTCTGCAAACATTTATACTGAAACACTATCAGATGCACTGTTAGCCTTAGCCATTAAAATAATCCTTCAGCACTGGGGCGGTACTGTGCAACTTCATGCAGCTCACTGGATCCCTTCCATCTTGACTTACACATCTCAGAGAGATTTTGTTCTCAAGCCTAAACAAGCTGGAATCATTCCCAAGCATTTAGAAACCTCGAGCAGAGTAATAAGCACCCTGCATTATGGTAATCACCTGGTAGTGGCTGCTGCAACTGAAGTTTATGTTCAGACTTTCAGTGTTACCTCCTGCTTTCGATGTTATAACTGTTTGGGATTTTTTTCCTTCACGACAGAAAGTCTCCCTGGCTGGTCCCAGGCCAGAGGTGAGCTTTCGTAATCAGAAACGGGGAGAAAAAGAAAAAAATCAGTCCGTTATTTTTAGCTAAAGAGAAAGGATGGGAAAAACCCACTCACAGAGCTTTAATTTAAGACACTTAGTCACAAGTTGCCAAATGACCAAACAAACGGTCTCCCCATGTTCACATGCAAATCAAGCCCCTTCAAGAATGCAGATTTGTGGGGAAAGAGAAGAAAAGAAAGCAAATGCAGTTAACAGAGCTAAACATTTTTCATATRCACTTCAAAGCACATCCTGTAAACACTTTTGGCTGTACTTTTTAGCAGCCTCTGGGTGGCAGGACCTCCAGGGTAGGACCCCACCTCAGAAGTGCATCAGAGTGCCCAGATCCCATATCCGGACACAGAGAATCCACCTTTGGGCTGAAAGATGGAAGAGAAAASGGAAATCTTGGGTACTTCCATCTTGGGGCCTTTCTACAAAGCCTGATTTTCCAGAAATGCCAACAACCAATGCTGTGAATGTCAAGTTCATTAAGGACACCTCAACTTGAAAACCTGTATCTTAACATCATTTGTTCTTTCTGGAAGGATTTCTAAATATCTTCCTGAGAATGTGCAAGTCATTGCTTGTCTTTTGATTTCCCTCATGCTCACAAGATGGAGATACACCAGAATTCATTGGACAATTCACCACTTGCCAAGCTACGTGGTCCAGAGACAGCTGTGATGAGCGACCCAACCACGTGGTTCCCACTGATCCAAAGAGCAGCATTTCTATAGATTTCATCAGGAATAGAAGAGGGTCTGAATGGTTGGTTCTGGCTTAGTAGCAGGTTAGAGAGCTCTCAATACGCAAAGCAAGAGAGAGTGAAGCAGTTTCTTGGAGAAACTGCACACTTATTTAYTGTGAGGGTGACAKAGCCCTGGAACTGGCCGCCCAGGGAGGCTGTAGAGTCTCCCTCTCTGGAGGTCTTCAAAACCCGCCTAGATGCYGCCCTGTGCCCCRTGCTCTGGGTGTCCCTACTTGAGCGGGAAGGTTGGACTAGATGATCTCCAGAGGYCCCTTCCAACCTTGAACATTCTGTGATTCTGTGAAATCCTTGCTACGGGAGTCAGGTGCTGCAGGACTTCTCCAGAAGGCTTCGCTTCAAGAAAACCCGTCCCAACATTTGCTGCGAGTTGCAGTGCCCAGGACAATGACTGGTCCCGCAAGCAGTCTCAAAGCGTATGTTTGGTTCAAGGCCACCCGACCACAGCTTGGTCGAAGTATAATTCTCCCACACAAGCAGTGCAATCATGTGAGCCACTCCTGCCATACCAAATGACTTGCTAATGTAGACACAGTGGTGTCTTCTACTGGCACTAAGTCCAGGTGTAAAAAAGGGCAGAAGATGAAACCCTGGTCACACATAAGAAGGTAGAGGCTGAGGAAAGCAGCCTGTCACACTGCATAGAAGAACTGCTGCTGCTGCTGCTCAGCCCTCTGCCAAGGGCTTGGGTCCTACCAAGGCTCGCTGGTGCCTACATCTGCAGCGATTCCTGCCTGTCCTCACACCCCTGCCTCAGCAACGCCTTTTCTGGGGAAAAGTATTAGTCCCGAGAGATCATATACCCAGCAAAGCTGCAATTGGGAAAAAAAAAAATCTCATACTTAAGCATCCCAATATTCATAAACACCAGGAAAAGGGTCTGACTCCCCACTCACATGGGTATCTGCAGAACGGATGGGAACAGGCAAGGCCGAGCTCCGTTCATTTTTCCTTACTTGTTTGTGATGTGAAGGGCTGAGAATTGCCAGGGATCTGCTTGCAACCAGCTTATCTTCTAACGCTTTCCACTGCCTGGCTGTTTAGGGCTTGGATTTTGTCACGGATTTAAACGCACTACTCTGTGTTATCCAGCACCAGCTACAGCAGCCCTGCAGGGCCAGGGTCACCCCTCAGTTTACTTTGGACAAGACCCCCAGCGCACAGGCAGAGGTGCCCAGCAGAAGCTCATTCCGGGGGAGATGATCCCGGCTGCTAATTGGCAACGCATTTTCCTGGAGGAAACAACCCTCTCGCGGACACAGTGGCTACAACAGGGGCCACGGCCTCCTGCTGCTGCCCCTCGCCATTCTCCCCACCTGCCTTTCCTTCCAGGTCCCGCTCCGTCCTTCCCACATCCAGATAGGGAGGAAAGGAGATCGCCAAACATCTCCACACAGGAATGTTGCACGCGCTCTAACTTCCCTCTGGCTCCCCCTTATCTGTCTCTGAGCTGTGATAAAAATCAACCTCTGACCTCCCGCTGCTTTTATTTATATTAGTATTTTCTTCTGAAACTAGAGCACGCAGCGCCCAGAATGAGCTGGAGGTCCCAGCAGAAACGCGGCCGAGGAGAGGAGCGGAGCCACCTCCCTGCCTTTGGCCAGTATTTTGCTTGGAGCTCAGCGCCTTCGGAAGCCACTGGCACAAGCAAAACCAAACAGCCGAGGAGCAGCTTTTCCTGCGCCTTCCCAACCAAGCCTGCTATTTGTGGGCATTGTGAGGCTGAGGAATTTCCCCCCTCGCTCTCCTCACCCTTTACTACTAGAAAACGTTTACGCTGAGGATTAAATCTCTGTCTGGGCCGGGAAGCGCCGCTCCCGCACAGCTCCGGCTCCCCCCAGGCCCATCGCCCAGCTCTGCACTCACAGCAAAGCCACAGCAGTTTGTACCGTCGGAAAAAMCATCCCCGTTTCTCTCCCCAAAACACTCCATAGGGTTCCATTTTTCTGTTCTTGAATAACATTTTAAACACCAAGATTTATACACAGACGCTTATGAACGTACGTCGCTATAGCCCTTGCAAAAGTACGTTGCAACCTAAACACTCAATTAATATAATTAAATTGCTACCTGACGGTATTATCTAATTTAATGTGGGATCTGTTATTGAAAAGCATGCGTCTTGTAGCACTCCGACTGGCAAGACATGTGATAAACAGACCTATAAACATGTTGGCTCAACTGAGCTGTTTAAAAATAAATTAGCAAACTATAAAAATAAACAGTAACATACATATGTACTCAATTATGAACTAACTCTAATTTTTGTTCTGAAATACTGTCTTTGACCTTAGTCATAAACAAGCACTATTAAAAAAACATAATATCTCAACAGACAGAAGGGCAGGGATTAAATGCTCATTGAGCGCCGCAGAATGCAAAATAAGGGATGAAAAGAAAGCAGAAAAGAATGAGAAGAAAGAGAGCTCGCCCTTTATTAAATGCAGAAACCTACACCGACTGCAAGTGCTAAAACCAGTTCTATAGGAACAGACAAAGTTAAACCTAGTGAAKTGCTTCCACTGCTTCCAATGCTTAAAACCTCCCAAGATCGAGGGGGAAAAGCCCTTGTGGCGCCCACGGGCCCTGCTCCATGCCTGYAGCGAGTGCTCCCCTAAGAGAAGGGGGACACCACACCACGACCGCCAACGCTACCGGATCTCCCAAAGGGAACCGCTGCTGCCGCCACTCTGTGGGGAACAGCAAAGGGCTCTTCCTGCCCGCTGAGCTCCTACCTGCAACCCTCTGCCTTAACTCGGGGGGCAAGCAGAGCATTTTTAACATGGTGAACGGGRAAAAAAAAGAAAATAAAATAAATAAAAGCAAGCCACCCTCTTCCGCTCCATGGGGCGTGTGTTCATCTCGTATGTGAGCGCTGCTGCACGGCACCATCGCCGAGCACAGCTCCTGCTCTGCTCTTCCGTACACAGACAGCCCCGAAGATCAACCTCCCTGCTCCTCCTCCGGGCAGGACCGCAGCRGGGCCGGCGCTGCCCTTTGCAAGCTGACCGAGGGCTTTCCGTGCCCCCGTGTCTCTTCATCCTGCACACAAATGTCTGCCGTCCCCCGAAGCAACGGTTGGATGCGGCTCCGCAGGAACCGCTCTCAATGAGCGGCCAAATGGTAACCAGCAAAACGCATCCGTGCGAACGAGAGCTGATCACGGGGTTTCCATGTATCACAGACCCATCCTGCACACGCGTCTGAATGGACCGGCACCTCCCTACGTTACGGCCACATCTTGTCCAGCACCTCRGCCACCCTTTGGAGGCCGGTCCCTGGCACCCACGGCACAGTGGGACAGAGGAACGGGGCTCCCGTCGTGACCGTCTGCTCCATCCCTGCTCCTCCGTCAGGGATGTGTCCTCCAATAAGCACCAACAATAAAGTCGGAATAAAATAAATCAYAAATAAGCTGAAATTAAAAGAACACGCCAGTTTGAAAACGCATGTCATTTTCTGACCATCCTCCCTGTTCTGTTACCAATAAAACATGTAAAGATACTATTCATGCAGACATAAAGTGCTAATGGCTACCTGTTAACGTGTTTCACAACGCTAATATTTTTGTTCCCATTCTGACAGTTCTCTTTTTGTTATTTTAAGCTAACGGAACTCTAATCTGGGTTGAAGCTGAAGGCTTCACAAATTACAGTCYATATAAACTGCACAATTAATGGCACCATTTCCTTACACATTGCACCATTTCATGGACACAGTCTTCCCTCAGTCAAGTTATTTTCCAAGCYGTAGTAAGTTGGAAATGCAGGAGCATAGATGTAGAGTATAAAGAACTACAAGACATTACCAAAAAATACCATTAACTCTTTTCTGAGTTTGGTGCATGCTGTGTGTGTTTGAGGGGTGACAGGAAGGGAAAAAAATTATGTGAATGACAAAATCCAATGCACTAGAAAAGACACTTTTAATGACCTAAGGAGAAAAAATAAAAAATAAAACCAGCGGCCATTCCAGGTAACTTAAGCAATGGGTCTTCAGGGCTAGACTGTCAGCTGGGGCAAACTGGCCAAGCTCATCCCATCTGATTTACACCACAAAGTGTTGCCCTAGGCCTAACTACACAGCACTCACCAACCCTTCTGGATGCTGGAAGAATGAATGAGACTCCTTGCATATTCACCTTAGCAGTTGCTAGCTGAAGCTGACTATCTTGCAAACATGTTCATTCTCCTACACTTTCCTC